TATATTAATTATATTAATTATATTAATTATATTAATTATATTAATTATATTAATTATATTAATTATATTAATTATATTAATTATATATTGAATATTATATTGAATATTTACGATCATTATCACACAATATTCCATATAGCCTGTACCAGATTCAGCTCTTATCAGTGGAAGAGGCCAATATAATTGTTCTATGGCTGTGCATGGATCGACGTGTGATCCTAATAATATGCCAGCGATTTATACTGTGAAGAAAGGTAAAAGATATCGATTTCGTATAATTAACATGAGGTAAATTAAATTCAGTATATTTTTGTATTGAAAGTATAATTATTAAAAGATAATAACAATTAATCAAAATTTTTTTTATCAACTTAAATTTATATGAACAATTTTTATATTAACAAATTGTATTTAAAATAGTGCCGAAGCCTTTTACTGGTTTTCTATCGATCAACATATGTTGCAAGTCATTGAAGTTGATGGAATTAGTACAAAAGCATCAAATATTAGCGTTTTACCGATTCATATTGGACAACGTTACTCTGTTATCATTGAGGCATCTCAAGAAGTTGGCAATTATTGGATACGTGCGGAAATACCAGAAGATTGTATAATGACTTCACCAGATACAATAAATCATAACTCGGCCCTTTTCGATCAGATGACTACAACAGGAATCTTACAATATGAAGGAGCACCTAGTGATACATATCCAGATTCCAAAAAGTTCAACGATGATTGGTCTAAAAATCTACTTCCATGCCGTGATCTTGATGTTGACTTACTAAAACCATACGCAGCAGTAGAACCGCCTTTAAAAGTTACAGATCAAATTAATATTTCTGTAACGCTTCATGAAGACGAGCATCAAACCACCAAGGCTTATATTAATAATCAATCCTGGATTCCTGATATAACAAATCCTTCAATTATGAAAATTATGAGCGAAAGTATTAGTGCTAAGCAATTTCCTATTAATGCTAATGCATATATGTATGATACTGAGGGTGGTGCTGTGGAAATTATTATATTCAGTAACTATCATAACATATATAATGTTGTCAGGTCATTCACATGTATATACCTATATGCTAATTCATTTGCTAATTTATACTTTTTCAATTATTAGATCAAAATGGAGCCGACCATCCATTCCACTTGGTATGCTTTTACATTTCTAAATTATTATATGATTTTTAAAATAATTGTATTAAAGGAATTTTTATTTCTGTTTTTATTATAATGATTTTATTATAATTAGCATGGACATAATTTCTTTGTTATAGGAATAAGTAGTGCTGAGAAAATGCCTGTTGCTAGTAAATATAACTTGGTCGATCCATGTCTTCGTGACACGCTTACTGTCCCTGGAAATGGGTAATTACTTGTCTAATATATTTTTGTTCTTTTTTATTCTATACAAGTCTGAAATTAGTCTGAAATTAGTCTGAAATTAGTCTGAAATTAGTCTAAAATTAATCTTTTTGATAAAAAAAATAAAAATAGATGGGCTGTAATACGTTATATTATCAATAATCCTGGTGTTTGGGCTTTTCATTGTCATATAGAGGTAATATTTACCGTTATATCATATAATATATACAATTATATAATACATTCAGAGTTAGACATTATTAACCGAGTCTACTTTTTTTTTTTTTTTAATTATCAGTGGCATGTTGAACTGGGGATGGTATTTCAATTGATCGAACAGCAAGAAAAACTCCAACAACTCAAAATGCCAGATCCTGTTGCAGCATTATGTGCACCAGGTTATCAACATACTAGGCGTCTCGCACTTTCGTCTCCCGATGATGATGATTATGTAACGATAACTGGTGGAGGCTATCAAATTCATCATAAAAAACCATCAACAAAAAGAAATACCAAGAAGAGTTTATTATTTACTAAACGTCATGCTAGTTTTAGTAAATTCAAAAGAATTTCGATTAATTAATTTATTATTTTTTCTTAATAATTTGTAAAATTTTAAGTCGTATTATTTATTTTATTTATTTATTCAATTTTATTGGTTGTAATTGTGGTTTTTTTATGGATAAAAAAATTGTACTTGAATGTAGCATAGTTATATTAATCTGTGTGTATGTAGAACGGTTGGATTTTTTTATTTCTGTTAGGTACTTAAATTTTTTTCTTTTAATTCTAATAAAGCTACATATTTATTAATAAAAGGAACATCATCGATATCGATACAGTATAAATAATTTTAAGTTAATTGAATTTCAATAGAAATGGCTTATTGATAAATTTCACGTTATCATGAAATTATGAATCTGCAGCGCAAGCAACAGGTCACATACTAGTGTGTCTACTGAAGTTCTTGGAGATTTTGTAAAAATGTGACCTTTTAACACAAAACATCCCTATCTTAATTTTTTTTTTTAAAAAACAAAAACAAAAAAATCAATAATCTGAATCACTTAGCGTTATGCTACGTATGGTGATCATCCGGAATATTTTTTGAAGCAGTTATCTTTCATATCTCCGACATTCTAGTTGGAAAGATTTTCGATTTGATTTACATATTATTTCCGAAGGAATGAAGGCTTAGTCGAGGTATCTTCGTATATTTATCTTATATTGATATTGTACTGTACTTTATGTACGTACTGTATATACCTGATACGTAAATCTTATCTGTTATAAACAATGAGCTCATTACCGTTAAGTGAGATAGTTATACTAATTTAGATGCTCGCCGTTCAGTCTCATTGATAATTATTGCACAATACCTTGCACGTTGAGAGAAGAACTAATCAACTCTTGCTTCAATTGATCATAATAAGGAAGGTATGGGTCAGGGATTAGAGAGTGAATAAATCAATCAAAATCAAATTGCATGAATTCGTATAATATCAGCAAAGTTTTTAGAGCATTCACTAGAGACAACGTGGATGATTTAGTAAAATATGTTACTTAGAAGACTTTAGATTCTATTAAATGAATCAAATTGTTTTATTAACTCGTAGGTTTTTATTCTCTTACAACAACGAAATTACAGATTTCTTATAACTTTTACATCAATTTAGAGAAGAAAGAGGTTTGGAAATATTATCAGACAACCAAGACCCTTAATCTTATGATCTTCTTTAAATATAATTTTAATAATTCATTAAAGAAAATCATACGCTTTCTTCTCTCCGTTACTCTGCGCTCGAAACACAGCCACGCGTAATAAGAGTCTTTTAATTCGCGTTTGTTTAATCATGCCATAGCTTATCGTATGTTTACAAAGCCCCATACGTCATAACGATAAATGTGTTATTAATCTTTCCCTTTCCCTTTCATAATTATCCTCTTATTCAGCAAATATCGAATTGTTAATTTTCAGTTCACGTTATTTATACACCATTTAGCCAATTAAAAAATCAGTAACGTAAAAACAACACGTCCTCTTTGTAAAATTCGCGTTTTAATCTTAAATCTAGACTAGTAAAAAATTTTCCTCAACTTATATTCGAACCCTAATATCAATTGGTTTTTTTATTTGACGACTATTGATTTTGGAAAACAACGAGTATGGAAAAATCGATTATATATTAGACATCTCTTTCGAATTGTCAATGTACTGTACTGTACGTACGTACGTGATAATTAAGCATTTTTGTATTTTTGAATACAGTATTAATTTTGTGACTATAGAGGAGGTGACTATAGAGGAGGTGACTATAGAGGGGTTTGACTGTATACAAAAATAATTTTTCTTATTTTCCTTACAACTTTCTTTTGC